CAATCGCGAATAAAATCTGCTTTTATCAGAGATACCGTCCTGACAAAAATTATTTGGATGTTTCCAACAATAGCCCATATATATGTATATTCCCATTCATCCTTAAGTACAGATGGTGAAGTTTTTTTGTTGTTGTCTTTATGGAGTTGGTTTTTTTTTTTTCTTTTCATTTTTTTTTGTGTTGTTTTGTTTTTGTTTTTAATAAATACAGGAGCACAAAGTTTACTGCTAACACACCTAGGTTCTGAGAAGCTGAGCATGCAATTCAGACAGCAAAGAGTTAAGATTACCAATGGAAACAGAAGAAAATGTTGTGTGCCAAATTGCCAAACTAATTTCTGGCACCCAAGCAAGAAATGTATGGCAACCACTTGCTCTGCCTTTATAAATTGTCCTGAGAAATATTTTGAGTTTCAGTGTTTTAAATGGATGACCTTGGTGCCCAGTCTTTTGGTTCAAACATTGGACCCAAGCCCCATAGAGATAGGGAGGCTGTAATGCATGTATTTTGCACAGACCTTACACTCTTTTAATGCAGAAATTACCAGTATTCCACAATATCCAATTTCTGCTGCAGCATGGGGTGGAATTTCTGAAGTTATAGCAAATTTAGAAAACAAAAAATTCTCTCTTTCACCCACGTTATTTGTCATGGTTTTATGATGTTTGTTATCAGTATTCTGCATCATAACATCATGTAGAGCACTGGCAGTTAAAGAGTTAATGTTCCAGTTCCATGGACTACAGATAGTTCCAGGTACCTGGTTCTCAGAAGAGAAGAACTACATATCCCAGAAGACTTTGTGATTCAGTTTTCTATTCAGAGGGAAAGATAAAAACTGTTCGCAAATCATGAGACATCTCTTTTTCCCTTTCTGCTCATCCCGGCAGCGTGTGCTCCCTAAGTTGTCTTGCCTTCAGCATTAGAGTAAGGCCTTCGGTTTTTGGATATTTTCTCTCTCATTTTATTTGATTTATTAGCTTCACTTCTAATTATATT